CTGCAAAACTCTCTTTCAAGTTTGATGGAGAAGTGAAATACTTTCATGACAAAGAACAGCTAAAGAATTTTGTGATGGCAAAGTCAACCTTACACAGGCTACTGAAAGATGTTCTAGAGAGGGACCAAAATGATCAGAACTCCACGAATGAGGTCAGAGGCAACCAACTAAATAGGGCAAGCAATTAAACACAGGAGAAAAAGGAGTAAACAACAACGGGTAAATAACATAACAACTGTAAGTCAATACATCTCAATACTAACCATCAATTTAAATGGACTCAATTCACCAATTAAGAGAAATAGACGGGCACAGTGGATTAGGAAACAAAATCCAACAATATGCTGTATACAAGAAACACACTTACCTCATAAAGACATTCATAGGCTGAAAGTCAAAGGATGGAACACAGTACTACATGCCTCAGCACCTCAGAAAAAAGCAGGGGTAGTAATCCTATTCTCAGACAGTCTCAAATTCAAACCAACAATGATCAAGCAAAATAAAGAAGGACACTATATACTGGTTAGGGCAAAAATTAAAGAGGAAGAGGTAATACTCATAAATATGTATGCACCAAAAATGGGAGCACAAAACTATACAAAGGAAATCTTAATGGGCATGAAAAATCTAATATCCAATACCACAATTTTAATAGGAGACGTTAACACCCCCTTATCTCCAAAAGATAGGTCAACCAGAAAAAACTTAACAAAGAAATAATAGAACTGAACCAGAGCTTGAAACAAATGGACTTGGTGGACATATACAGAGTGTTCCACACAAACACAGCTAAATGCACATTTTTCTCAGCTGCACATGGGTCATTTTCTAAAATAGACCACATACTGGTCCATAAGTCATGCTTAAGTATATGTTAGAAAACAGAAATTATCCCATGCACATTATCTGACCTCAGTGCAATGAAACTGGAAATGAATGACAAAAGAAACCAGAAAAAAACATTAAATACATGGAAATTAAATGACACCCTACTCAGCAACCAATGAGTCACAGATGAAATTAAACAGGAAATTGCACAATATCTACAATTCAATGAAAATTCAAGCACAACTTATCGTAATTTATGGGATATGATGAAAGCAGTTCTCAGAGGGAAATTCATAGCTGTGAACTCACACATTAGGAAAACAGAACAGGAACAAATAAATACCCTAATG